GACAGGGACCAGCCCTGATGAACTCACTCAGGATACCAAGTACATGTTTGATTCCCAGGCTGGACAAAGAGAAAGAAAAATGCATAGCCTGTCTTCCCTACAACTGCAGAGACAAAGTTCTGAAATAAACGGCTGGGTAACGTGCGGCTGAGAATGAAACACGTCACTGGCAAGTGGCTCTGCAAGCGAGGTGGCCTGACCCAGAGTTCACTGAAGGACTGAAGGGGAAAGCAGAGTTCACAGACCCACCGTGATGCAGAGAGCGGTGCCCGCAGACATCAGCACCTACACCGGAACAGGGACCCCTCAACTCGATGAAGGTTGTTTACGGACGGACGCCACAGAACGTTCCCCTCAGGCCAACACAAGGCCTCCGCTAAGACTGCCACTGCTCAAAGACCAGCTGCCCAAGAAGAGTTCGGACGAGCACAGAAAAGACCATTTGGAATGGTCACAGAGACCCCAGCAGGGACCAAGACGGACTCCCTGAACTATGAAAGGAACCCGACTCTACCCTGCACAACACGAAAAGGGACCTCAAGTGCCCAAGCCCAACACTAAAGAACGGGGTACACTGCACAGAAGAAATCGCAAGGTACAGAGCCACAGTGGCACAGCCTGAAGACTCGTTCTCCCACGGTACACAGAAACGTGACGTAAATGCCAGGCAATGTCCAACAGCAATTTCTCAGGAACTTGGCTAAGATCCTGAAAGTTATTTGAAAGGATAAAGTCCTTGAAGAGTCATGTCACTTTTGGCAAAGGGAGGCAAGGAGAAGACTGAGTCTGGCAGCCATTTCAAGATAAGCCACAGCTAGAACCAGTGGGGAGCCACTGCAGGGAGGCAGACCAGCCCTACAGACTGGGCACCACCGGGAAGGAGCAGGCACCACCAGGACCCAGCAGGAAAGAGGCTGGATAGCTGAGGGCAGAGCTGGGAAACTAGCTATAACCAAACACCCAGAAGAAACCCAGTGAACTCTGGCACTGTGCACACGGGGCATGAGTGAATCCATGGAGTCAAAGTAAGTCAAGGCAGAAGACGTGACCTTGACCTTGGCTGATAACTCTGAGAACACAAGCACAGGAACAGTCAGGGACAAACCACCACAATCAAGACGACTCAACCAACACAGCCCCAACCTCTGAAACATGCTGGGAACTCACACAGAGCAAGGAAAACCAAAGAGGTCAAAGGACATCCACAGTAAGGTGGTGGTTCACAAGACAAGCAAGACACAAGAAGTGGGTGTGTTCAACGACAGTCATCGAAGAAAAAGGGTCATAAAGTCTAGGGATGGGAGAAATGGCTCAGCAGTTAAGACAGCTTGCTGCTCAGGCAAGGACTCAAGTGTGGTTCCCAGCATCCACACTGGGCAGCTCACAAGCACCTGTAACTCCAGCTCGAGGGGATCTGATACCCTCTTCTGTGGGCACCTGCACTCATGTGCACATATCCACACACATACATATACATATACAGACAATTAAAAAAAAAAAAAAGCCAGGCGTGGCGGTGCACGCCTTTAATCCCAGCACTCAGGAGGCAGAGGCAGGCGGATCTCTGTGAGTTCAAGGCCAGCCTGGTCTACATAGTGAGTTCCAGGACAGCTGGGGCTAGAGGGAGACCCTGTCTCAAAAAGACCAAAAAAATATCTATCAGCTGACCCCACGTGACATTAGAACCAGAGGCAGGGCTGGCATGCAGCTCAGGGTGGATCCTGCTGACAAGGCCCAGGTCCCTTCCATCTGCCACACTGAAAAAGAAAAGAACGTGTACAGAACTCTCCACTCGTTTGTCTTTTCTCTTTTTTTTTTTTTTTTTTTTTTTTTTTTTTTTTTTTCTGTGCTTTTCTTTTTTTTTTTTTTTTTTTTTTGTTATTTTGAGACAGGGTCTCCCTGTAGCCCCAGCTGGCCTGGAACTCACTATGTAGACCAGGCTGGCCTCAGACTCAGTAGAGATCTGCCTGCCTCTGCTTTCTGAGTGCTGGGATTAAAGGTGTACACTACCATGCCCGGCCTTAAACCTCTCCACTCATTTCTTAGAGCTACTGCTACCCTTGCACATAAATACAGTACAGTGAGCGGGGTGAGGGGGTCACACAGGGTGGCCAGCCCTGACTGTGAGGGACATAGTGAATCAACTGCTTCCCTGAGGCCCTCACTACACACACACAGGAACACACTCACACACATACTCACACAGGCACATACACACACACACACAGGTGCGCACACAGACACAGGCACACACACACACACACACACTCACACTCAGGGACTCTCTAGAGAAGGCTAGACGCTGCCACAGGAGGGTTAGAATGGAGAGAGGAGTCAGGGAGACATTCAATCTTTTCCTCCTTTCTCAAACTTCCTTTAATACTTTGATAAAATAAAAATGGCACAGGGAGCCTCAAGTTCAACCCCTTGTGCCCCACCCCCGCCTGACTACCCTGAACTCTGTGTGCCCACCCTCGCTGCTCCTGTTCATGCTGGAAGTCATCCTGGCACACTGGGCAGGACCTGAGCCTAAGCCACACACGCGAGAGGAAACAGCTTGAAGGAGTATGTCATCAGTGGCACACTCTCAGCCTGCTGCCTGGCAGGTTGTCTGGGAAAAGAGCACACTAGCAGGTGGCCACTCCCACCACCTGTGTGGCTGAGACAGATCACAAGTTTAAGGTCACCCTGGCTATGCAGTAAGACCTGTCTCAAAAAAGAAAAGCAAGAGGCCAGGAAGGAACTCAATGATTACAGAGCCAGCCGTACAAGTGCAAGGGCTGGCGCTCAGACCCAGAACCCACATAAAATGCCTGGCAGGCACGGTAGCCCACTGTGATTCCAGTCTCCAGAGGCAGACCAGAGTGAGCTGGCTAGCAAGACTAGCTACCAGGAGGCTCTGGGTTTGACTGGGAAACCTGCCTCAATGAATAATGTGGAAGAGTGATGGAAGAGGATTCCCAACACCAACCTCAGGCTTCCACACGTGTGTCTACACACATGCAAAACATGTATACTCACTTGTATGCACAGCACACACATGAAAATGGAAAAATAGCCGGGCCTGGTGCACACCTTTAATCCCAGCACTCAGAAGGCAGAGGCAGGCGATTTCTGTGAGTCTGAGGCCATCCTGGTCTACCTGGTGAGTTCCAAGCCAGCCAGGGATACAAAGTGCGACCCCCATCTTAAAAAAAAAAAATTGTAAGACAATCAATAAATAATAAATAAAATATCCTTTCTCCAAACTAGCTGCCTTCCTTAGGATGCCAGACATGAGGTTCCAGGCCAAGGCTGCCCCTAGCCTGGCCCAGGGCTAACTTCAGGCAATGTGCTAGCCAGAGACGAGAGAGACCCTATCCAGCCCTGGGCCAGAAACACAGGTCCTGTTGAGTGGAGTCCTGCTTAGCTGGCTCTGGACGACTGGGACCCCTCCCAAAGCTCACGGAGAAGCATGGCTGGCACAGGCCAGGAACCGCAACATGTTCAATGAAATTACTCATATGGGGTAGGCAGAGATCTTGTATCACCCAGGGGGACCTAAGGACAAGCAGGGGCACATCAATTCCAAAGATGCCAGTGAAAGTCTCAGCTACAGAATTCCTGAAGTGAACCAAGTCGAAAATTATACCAGCCCTGCGGGCAATAGCAGACCAACAGTGGCCTACACCATCAGCCCACGGAGGGAAGGCAGGGGAGGCAGACACAACATGACATGGAGGGCCCTCCCAGGGTGCAGAGATGGCCTCCTGTGGACATGCCACTACAGGGAGGATAGAGGTGCTCACAGAGCAGCACCCTGACCCACCAGCTGCCCATAGAGTATGATCCAAAATACAAGACACTTCTGTTACTCTGGAGGTGGGGGACCAAGTCATTACCAGGACAGCAGGAGAAGCTGCAAGCACCCAGAATTTAGACAAAGAGCTCTCTTCAAAACTAGTTCACAGCTGTTGAGGTGGCCTATGCCTTTAATGCCAGCACTTGGGAGGCAGAAGCAGGTGATCGCTATGAGATTGAAGCCAGCCTGGTCTACGCAGTGAGATCCAAGCCAGATGGGGTACAGGGAGATCCAGTTTAAAAAAAAACAAACACAATGGGGGCACCACACAGTGGGCATGCATAACAACAGGCATGCTGCACAGTAACAAGCTCTGGCTTAAGAAAGCCTACCATAAGGCCGGGCGTGGTGGTGCACACCTTTAATCCCAGCACTCAGGAGGCAGAGACAGGTGGATCTCAGTGAGTTCAAGGCCAGCCTGGTCTACATAGTGAGTTCCAGGCCAGCTGGGGCTACAGGAAGAACCTGTCTCAAAAAGACCAAAAAAAAAAAAAATTCAAAAATCCTCTTTTCAACACTCACGACATACTTAAAAGTAGGGAGTTCCAGGCCAGCTGGGGCTACAGGAAGAACCTGTCTCAAAAAGACCAAAAAAAAAAGAAAAAAGAAAAAGAAAGCCTACCATAAAGAAAAGTTAACACAGCATGTGTCATTCTAGACCAGGGACCACCAACCAGGTCATTTCCTAAGGGCTTGGGAAAGCCACTCTCTCCTCCCAGCTGAGCTGTCACTCCCAGCAAGCCTAAGTCCCCGTGTTCAAGTTTTCAAACGCAGTTATGGATGACCCAGAGACAAATTCACCACCCTTCTTCCTCCTTACACAATCGCCATATATGCCCCAAACCTGCTGCTCAGCAACAGGAAGGTGACAGGCACCTGATCAAAACCTCTCAAGCAGGCAGGAGGGTGGGCAGCTGAGCTCCGAAGCACCCCATGGGGCTGGACCAGGCTGAAACCCCATGTGAAAGATTCTAGGGTGACACACATGATGGTGGTGCGTGGGCAGTTCATTTGCCAAAACCCATCAGACTACATGCTTAAATGGGAAGCTCAGACAGGACAAGTCCTGTTCCCAGAAGATGCCTGCAAGTCTGTGCCCATCACGTGCCGGAGTGCGACCTTTGTCAGAAGAAAGCCCTGTGCCCAATACATTCCTTACCAACTCAGGCTCCTGCTCCTCACCAGGCTTCGACTTCTTGGGCTTAGAGGGGCCTCCAGGGCCAGAGAAGGACTTGGGTGACTTGGCTGAAGGTGACATCAGAGGTCTTGAGGACCCAGAAGGGCCCCCCAGCCGCTGGCCCCCACCAGAGAAGGGAACAAAGGGGGCAAACGTAGACTCCTTTGCCTTCTGCTTTGCCTGAGCATCCACTGGCTTTGGGCTACCCCCAAGGTTGACCCCCGAGGTGCTCGCATCACCCTGATGGCTCAGGTCACCCATGCTGAGCTCCCCAGAGTTCAAAGGGAGCAGAGGACTGCTGGATGCTTGGTCAGCCGACATGGAGGAGACAGGGCTTCCGGGGGCCTTGCTCCTGATGGTTGTGGGCTCCTGCTTGCCTCTGGAGTCACACTGCTTCATGACAAACCTGGGAGGAGCCAAAGAGTAAGTGCAACACCACAGAGTGGTCCTCCCCACCTTCAGGGCCCCTTCTGAAACCTACTTTGCCTATGGAGAGAGGAGAAAAGGGCCAGAAGTGACAACTGAGGCAGCTGCCGTCACCAGTCACTGAGGGCAGGTCGCCTCGGTCCCTAATCCCAGGTAAATTCTTCATATGCTTCCCCAACCACATACCCTCTGCAAAAGTCCAGACCCTCCTACCTCAGCCTCTAAAGTATTGGTATTACAGGCATACATCACACCTGCCTCCTTTTCCTTTAACAGAACAGATATCCATTTCAAGACGCTCTGTTGCCCCTACCTGATGGTTGCACTGCCCCCCGTCAGGCCCAGGGACTGCAGTGTTGTGCTCTGGAGGGCGGCTCTACCAGTCACCTGCAAGAAAGACAAAGGACACATGGCCCCTCTCCTGGACTCCTAGGCCTGAAACAACTCTCCCTACCAAGTCCTAGCAATCTCCCCAGGCCAGAGCCCCACACTAAGGAGGTGCCCTCTCTCTAAGCCCCTCCCCTGCTCTTGATAGTCCCCATGTTCTAAGAGCCAGTTATACAACTGGCCTGTCAACTGGTGAGGACATGCTCAGCTGTGAACTAAATCCACAGTGTCTGGAGAGGACAGACTGGGCTGAGGATACCCAGCAGCCTATGGCGATGTTTAGGGGCAGGAAGCTGGAAACTCGTGGATGGCTCCCTGGCAAACTTCTTGGGGGCAAGGAGGATAAACTGCAGGCTCCATGCCCCCAATGGCCTCCTGAGTAACAGGATCCAGAGCCACCACTCCAGCATCTCCACTGGGCTTCCCCAGGATTACCGATGTCTCAGGGAGGATCTGACCCTTTCCCCCATCCTCAGGCCCAGCACGGCTCTAGGCCCCACACTGCAGTCTACCTGACAGCCCTCCACAGCAGTAAGTAGGTGGGAGCAGGAAACTTGAACCTCAACATTCAACACCAGGGCCCAGCCAGGTCCCTGAATCAGTTCACCACCACAGGCGCCCACCAGGCCCCAAGGCCCAGGAGCTTCCCCTTGGGGAGTCTACCCTGTATGGTGGACAAAGGGCAGGGTGATGGCACCCACTCTACAAAACCTTGGAGCAGGTGCGGGGGCACATGCCTTTGATCCAAGCACGTGAAAGACAGGCAGGGGGATCTCTGCAAGTTTGAAGCCAGCCTGGTCTATGTAGTGAGTTCCAGACCAGCCAGGGCTGCATAGTGAGACCCTGTCTGTCTCAAAACAATGACAACAACAAAAGCAATTCTTTGAGCTGTAGGAGCTCCCAAGTCACAATGCCTGGTCTCAAGCTCTGCTTGCCTGATCAGGGTGATGACACCCTCTCAGCATGCCATCTGACTACAGCCACCCAACTGTTCCACCATCTCCAATCTCACCCACTGGAGAAAGTTCTCATGGGTCCTCCCTTCTGCCAGGTCACTTAGTTTTTTTTGTTGTTGTTGTTGTTTTGGGGGGGGGTCTCTCTGTAGCCCCAGCTGTCCTGGAACTCACTATGTAGACCAGGCTGGCCTTGAACTCACAGAGATCCACCCGCCTCTGCCTCCCAAGTGCTGGGATTAAAGGCGAGTGCCACCACGCCCGGCTGCTTTTTTTTTTTTTTTAATTTTATTATTTTTTTCATTTTACGTATATGTGTGTATTGCTTGCGTGTAGGTAAGTGCACCCATGTCGTGCAATGCCCATGGAGGTCAGAAGAGGCTGTCAGATCCCCTGGGACTGGACAGTTGTTAGGTGTCATGTGGGTGCTGGGATTTGAACCCAGGTCTTCTGCAAGAACAACCAGTGTTCTTAACCGCTGAGCCATCTCTCCACCACCCCCCCAGGTCACTTCTGATACTCAGCTCAAGGCAAGGAGAGCTCAGGCCTGACTCACCACACCCACTGAGCAAACGCTGGTCCTCTGAGGAGCCGTCCACAAGAGCAGACAATCACGCTAAGGTTATAGCATAAGACCCAGAGCGTGCAGCCAAGTAGAACGGTCAAGCATGGATCCCTGAAGTCCTGTGGTCCATCTCTTCACAGAAAGGAAGTGGCCAGGACAGCCTCCTGCATCTCTACACATCCTCACATCTCCCCTTGCCTTGCACAGCTCTGGGTTGACAGAGAAAGTCCTAACCCACCTCAGGGCCTTTCTGGGGCCCTGAGAGACAGCATGAGTCTGCCCAAGTCAGGACAAGGCACTGGGCCAGGGTAGAAACAAAAAGCCCCTGTGAGGTCAGAGGACCCATGCTAGGAGGGTCCCTGTAGTGGTAGGCGGGGCTGGCGGGCTGGCGGGCTGGCAGGACCTCTCTGCCAGCTTTGCCTGCGCCACGCTGTACTCAGTTTTGAAAAAGATCAAAACACAGAGCAAAGCAAATATTTACTAAAATGAAACCACTTTTGTGACTCTCGGGCTTTGCGAGAGGCTGAAAAAACACACAGGGCACTGAGGGAGGTTTCGGGAGCAGCCCGGGCGGCCGCAGTCGGCTCCCAGAGGAGCCGCTGTTCCGCTTTTTTCCACAGAACACATCATGCTTTCAGGAGCTGTTGCTCCTGCCGCTGCTTTGAAGACTCAAGGCAGCAAAGTTTCCAGGTTGGAAAATGGGGTGGGCCACTGGTGTACAGGAGAGCTGTCGGGTAGCCAACACCTACCTCATCCCTCATGTATACGCAGACAGGGGTCACCTCATCTGGCTGTTGCAGATGCTCCCTAGAAACAGTTAAAAAAAAATCAGAGACCCAACACGGGACAGAGACCTCAGGGCACCTGGCCCAGCACCATGTAGATGCCAAGGACCCAGGACCAGGGCCCTAGCCCTCTGCCAGCCAACCCCAGCCTCCTGGGGCCTTCCTATACCCTGTGACTACCAGAAAGGCAACCACAGGCTGTACAGAACCCCAAGAAGAGCCTCAGGCATCAGCACATGGACAGGCATTTCTCCTACCTGCTTGGGCTGTAAAGCCTCCACAGGGGATGAGACCTGCAGGGGAAAAGCAGCCCCACCCCCATGTTTCACACTGCCAACGGCACCTTCTGAACCTGTAAGCAGTCGGCGGGGGGTCCTGAGTCCAGGCCTTCATCTGGAGCTGCCTCTAAGAGTCAACACTCAAGACCAGATCAGGACACAGATCCATACAGTGGATCCCAAGCAACCTAGATCCCCACAGCCATGACCACTGCATGAGTCACCTCTCAGCCCAGGCCCCAAGAAGGGACGCCAGGACCAAAGGAGGGCAGTATTCTCTCCCACAAGGGCCAGGGCTTCCGTTCTCAACCGTTGAAGTCATGACCTGTAACCTGCATTTGACCCAGTGCCCCCAAGGGCAGGGACTGCAGTCTACCATGTCCTGGCCATGTGACAGCATGTCCCTTCATGCCTGGACATGGAGGGTGGGAACAGCACCCTTATGAAGCACAACCAGATGTCCACAGGGTCAGGCAGGGCACAGTCAGCTCTCAAGGTAACTGTTACCCAAACAGGACAGCAGAGCTGTCCTATCCAATCCTGGATGGCACTCAGAGGCGCACTCCACATCTGTGGCATAGGCTGAGGGCAAGGTTGGAGTGGGAAAGGGACAGGAAGCATCACAGACAGACAGCAAGCCCTGCAGGCGTCCACCCCATACCCTACTCTGCATCACCCTATCCACCTTTCAACTTTCTGACAACATCCCCACCCTCCACATGCTACCGTTCTGCACATGGCATCCCCAAGGAGCACCTGGGGAGCAAGCTGGACCCTAGCATACTCAGTCACACGCTGACACACATCTGACGCACGCAGTGGTTGAGCATCAAGATGACTAGCAGAGGGGAATGAATAGCCCTGACGCACTGCCACAGCTGATACCCAAGACCACTGAGGGGAAATTAGTTCCTGCATCTTTTAACATGACAGAGTCTACCTCAGACCTTGGGGAAACATGCCCTGGTTAGTCACTCCCCAAAAGCAGTAGGAACAGGTCCAGGCAGAGGAGGAGGCCACAATCCAGCCAGGCCTCATAGCCATTATGGCCGAAAGACAGAGTCAGGACAGGAACTGAGCTGTTGACCAGGAAGCAGTACACAAGAATTAGATAAGTGCTGACTGGACAGGCCAGCAAAGGCCAGCAAGGGCCAGAGCCAGTGTGCTGGATCATCCAGGAGTAAAACACAAGGGCTGGTTCCCCGAGGAGAGCATTCTAAGCCCCCCCTGTGACTAACTCCTAGTGTTCAAGGGTCTCTGGGGCACATAATGTGCCAACAGCCCCAATGGGGTAGGGTCTATAGGAGTGACCTGGCATTGCTGAAATGAGGAAAGGGTGTTGCAGGACTGAGTGCCTGACCCACGGCCCACAGCATGAACAGCAGATGTGAAGGTGTGCCCACTTCCACTCCCTAGGTCACTGGATCCTATGAGTGATGGGGTGCATTTTCCTTTGGTAATTTGCTTTATGTTCTTGTTTTTGTCTGTTCCCCACTTCAGGGGCTCAGCCCTTCCCATGAGGGCCCAGCATTGCCAGCTGTACTGTCTTCAGAGGCCTTGTCAGGACAGCAAGACAATAGCACTTAGTGGGCTCATAAAGCCCACCCACGGGGCCGACGCCTGACCGTGGGGTACATGGTGTCTATGATTGGCCTCCCTTCCATGCAAGGCCAGGAAGAACTGTAGAACACCTTTCCTACAAGTCACTGTGCAACCTACCCTGGTTGTTGGACCTACCCTGACACCAGAGGGTTGGAGACTGGCCCACCAGAGAGCAGGCCCCTGGGACCCTCCTTCTGAAATCATGACAGGACAGGAGAGAAACCCTCACTCAACCCAGGAGGACAGGCCAAGGAAACAGAGTATGGGCCATGAAGGAAGACAAGAGCACTGAGGTGTTCATCACCCAAATACCAGACATACAACTGACCCCTGCAGGAGGGAACTGGCATGCCATACTGTGCCAGGCCACTCGACCCATGGCTATCCACGCCAGCAGACCTAGCACGGCCAGCGTCTTCTTGAAGTCCTTCCCTGGGTCACTGTGTGATGACAGATACAGATCACAAACAGGGACAGAGCCCAGGCGGTGGCCGGCACTGGTGTGTGGCATCTCCAAAGCAAAGAGCAGGAAGATCAGATCCCTTTGTACATAAGGGTCTCACATGGGGTCCCCTCATGTACCAGTGCGGCCACCATCCCAACCACACAGACTTCACAGGCCCTGCCCGGCCCCGTACCCTGGGCTAGGTTAGCCGCAAGATACCAAGTTCCAGAGTAAGAAACGCACCACTAGGCCATGGTGCATGGCTTCTGTGGTACCTGCTCACCCATGTAAGAGATACCCACAGGCCACAAGGGAGAGTGCTACTGGTGTCTAGCAAGGTCTCCAAGACCAGCAAACCTTCTGAGGTGGGAGTCAGGAGCCAGTGTGGCTAAGGAGGGTAAAAACATCATCGCTGCTGCTTCAGATGCTTAACCTGCCACAAAGCTTGCAGTCCCCTAGGGATGGACAGTCTGTTCATTTAGGGTTCCTCTCCTGGGAGGAGCACTGTGCGCTGGAGACAAGTATTGCCTATGCCCTTTGTGTTATAGTCACCTGTTCAGACCTGACCGATCCAGGGCTGGTACAAACATCAGTGCTGCCAAGCAAAGTCTGGCACAGCCACTTTCCCAAACACAAGAATGACACACATTGTCAAAACCAGCAAAAACCACCAGAGCTCTGACTGCAGGCAGTGTGGCTCCTCCTGGCTCTCAAGCCCTCTGAGGGCAAAGCCAAGTCCTGAAAGCACCAGGTGACGCCCCCCACTGCCACGCGACAGTCAAGTCCCACACACCATGTCCCGCCTGGAGACAGCAAGGAGGTCCAGGCAGCTGGGGCCACAAAGGTCGGAGGAAAGAGGCCGCTGGTCCTACCCAGATGGCTACAGCGAGGAGCTGAGCTGGCACCCACTGGGTACACAAGCCTGCCCTGAGCATGGCCACAGGCTTGTCCTCAGACCCCCCAGGGGAGAGCTATCCTCACCCGCAGTCTTCTTCTCTGTAGCCTGTCATACCCTGCTGTGGATACCAAGAATCACTCGGCCTTCCTGAGGGTTATAGCTGCTACTCACAGATCAGCATACAAAGGGCCCACAGTGAGACAAGATCTTGCTACAAATCCCAGGCTGGTCTGTAACTCACTAAGTAACCCAGGTTGGCCTCAAACTCACAATCCTCCTGCCTCAGCCTCCTGGATTATAGGCATGAGCTACCATGCCCAGAAGAATGCATTCTGTGTGTGTGTGTGTGTGTGTGTGTATGTGTGTGTGTGTGTATGTGTATGTGTGTGTGTGTGTGTGTGTGTGTGTGTGTGTGTTGTTAGGCATCAAACTCAGGGCCACACATGCTTGGCAAGTACTCCCCATGAGCTAGTCCACAGTCTGAGTACACCTTTCTGTTAGTCTACAACCATGCCAGTACTCTAAGGACAGTAGCAAGGGCTAGACCACCCATCCACACAGCCACTAACTCTCCCTGATCATTTCTGGGCCTCTCATCCCAATGGCTGCTCACACATGACCTCTACTCATTCTTAAAGCCACTTCAGACCTGGCTTTGATTCCGTACCCCCACTCCCACCCACAGCCACTGGGGTTGCTGACCTCAGGGTCTTAGAGACCCCAACCTATAGACCTTGCACTGTCACCCCCCGGAGAGAGCTAGGCATTTCTGTCTACTTGAAACAGGCTTTGATACAGAAGGGCATTCCAACCTGTGGGCACACCATAAGCATTACACCCAAGTCAGCTTCCTGCAAACAGAAAGCACCACGCCACGTTCTCGCTGCTCCACACACATTAGCTTATGTCATCCACAGAGCACCTGTGCTAAAGAGGAGGCCACAAAGGCCCAGAAAGGGCAGGCAGCTCACCTATCGCCATGCAGCGAGCACTACTCATTAGTCGAGACCTTTAAAAGTAGATGGACTTCTACCCCACAGAGGAAAGGTAAAGGGATACCATTTTTACACACCTCAGAATAACATTTAAAGCACTACCCACCAAAAACTGACATACATCAGTACTACCAGGAAGCCTTGTGTATAAGGCCATGTCACACTGACAGAGTTAGTGGAGGCATCTCCACAAGGCCTTTTCCTGTTCTATCCAAGATGCCTAAAACCCAGATCTCACGTGGGTGTGGGGAGATACACCCTACATTTCACTTCCCATTGCTGTTCATCAGCCCTTAGGGTCTTTTGGGTCCCCATAAAGATGAAGGAATACCCTTGCTCTTCCTGAAGGACAAGGGGGCCACTGGGCCTGGGAGCTGAGGAAGCTGAGCTGCTGGCTGCCCTGCCCCATCCAGCTGCACATCTCTGGTCAGTCTTCTGAGTCAAGACTGCGAAAGCCAAAGGGCTAGTTTTCCGGCCAGAGCACAATGTGTTTTTCAGACCTCTCCCAGGAGGGGGCGGGAAAGAGCCTGGGAAAGACCTGCTCACCCATGCTCACCTAGTCGGTGCAAAATGACTGAGAAGCTCCCAAAGAGTCTGGCGGGAAGAGAAAGTGTCCTGTAACCTGGAGCCGTCATCCAGCTGCACTGCAATTCGAACCTGGAAGGGCGGAAGGTAACACCTAGTTAGGAAGGAAAGCACTGTCCCACCAGACTGAATAGATTCCCAGGGCATGGGATCCTCCAAGCTCCTGGAGGAGTGGTGTGACCTCCAAGGGGCCCACAGAAGGCTGCACCATCACATGCATGAGCACCTTGTGCAGGCAGCAGGTGAAGGACCCATCCTGGAAATGGCCTTGCACCAAGAGGCCAACTGCAGCCCCCACCAGTGCAGTCTCTCAGAGACCTGTGCTAAGTTGCTCCCTGACCTAGCCCCCAGAATCCTGGGAGATGCCAACATCTAGTGAGATGTTGCCAACGTCAGGGTAATTTATTCCCCACCCAAAGAGAATTGACACCCTTCTTTTATATACATGTCTTAACAACCATATCTCCAACAAGGAACATAAGCTACACACCAAAGTGGAAAGGTCCTGACCCCGCTACAGAGACAGGCACGCTTACCAACTGAGCCTGGGTGTGGTGCGGACCCACGTCCAAGCCCCACTCCTGTAAGAAATGGCCCTAAGTGCCACCCTCAGACCCATGCTGTGGCCCAGTGCCACCTTCTCTAAGCCATACCACCCCTGCCTTGTAGAAACTCTTCTTCAAATGCACACCTAAATAGAAGCACCCTTCCACTCATTCCCTGCACCCCGAAGAACCCCACAGGAAGCTAGGACTCCATCCACACTGCAGTGGTTAACAGAAGAGCCCACAGCCCCGGACTGCCTGCCCGCTAGCTTCACATGGCCAGTTGTGGGCTCCAGCTGAGACTGCTAACGCGTCAGGCCTCTTTCCCATCTGTGTCACACACCTGTGATCCCAGCAATGGTGGGGAAGAAGGGAGATAAGCCGAAGGCTAGCCCGGGCTACGTAGTGAGACAGCCTCAAAACCAAGAGCAACAACGTGTTTCCCCACAGGGTAGGGAAAACAGTCAAGCATGGAAGCACTGGCCTCAGCAGTGCATATCATGGAGGACAATCAAGACAGTGGACCTAGAGTACCACGGGGACTTGGGGAAGAGCCTCAAGGAGCAAGCAAAGCTGCAGCTGGGGCTGGTAGGGAAATGCTAACAAACCCCACTAAAACCAAAACACCCACGAAAAATCCACATAAAAGAGGAAACTTTCCATTTCCAGTCCTTAGTTACCCAAGTAGGAAATGCTGCTCTAGCCTGACCCAGGAAGGCAAAATAGATCCCAGGACTCGCCTGGCTTTCTGCAGCCCCTCAAGCCCATGGGCAGAGCTGCAGCACACCTCTCACCCAGCCCATAGCAGGACCATCCTGTGCTCCCACTGCCTCAGCAGAGACAGAGATACAAGGCTGCTAGGCATCACAGCTGCAGACACCTACCATGTTCTCGGGCCCTTCACGGCTCCGGGACACAGGCACCATCTCCAGCTTGGCATTGTTGGGCAGATTGGCAAATCTCCACTGGAGAGAGAGGTCAAGCACAGTCCTCTGAAACCTGCAGGACAGACATAGCCACATGCTGCCTTAATAACCCAACTCCCCACCTGCTGTTCCCTCGACTACAAGAACACAAAGTTAGGTGCAGAAGAGATTAAGAGGTAGAGCTTAGACTACAGGGGTCTAGGGAAGGAGAGGTACAGGGCTGACAGGATCAGAGCAGGAAGACAACAGAGGAGTCTCTGGAAGGGGAGGGCAACACCAACGGACACTAGCAGGTACAGGCCTCAGAAAGCTGGCCTGAACAAAGAAAGGTCACCAGGCCACCCTCTGACAGTCCAGATCCCCACAGCTGCTCGGATTTAGGTAATATACACTAGCCCAAGAAACCTCATCCCATCACACTGCCTCCTGTCATCCTCCAAACACAGGAGGCAGATCCTAGAAGAACCTGTCCCTGGAACAGCCTGACCCAGTGTCCTCACAGAAGTTCAGGGTGAGATCAGACCAGATACAGGTCCCATCAGCCCTCACCTCTCTACCTATATCCTGAGGGGTGGCCTCAAGAGAACTCAGTGCCTCCCAACCAAAAAAGGAGGACAAGGTGGATCCCCTTGGAGGATAGGGTGAGCCTGAAGCCTCCTCTGAGTCCTGGGCAGGGAAGTTTCAAGGCCTAGTAGGGACTTAAGGCATACAGATTCTCAGAAGCACCAAGGATCTGGATCCAGTGGAGGCTGCAAACACATCTTGGAAACAATTTCCAAGATGCTCACCCTCTCCAGACAGCACAGTGAGTCACACCTAGCCATGAGAAGCTCAGACTGGAGGAGGGTCAAGCGACAGCTCAAAGGTAGAACTTGGGCCTTTGCAGATTCTGACACAGCCCACAAACTAAGAAAGAGTCAATATCTGCCCCCAAGAAGAGAAGAGCAGGCGGGAGAGAGGCCCACTCAGTGCCGTCACTGGTGCAGGGTAAGCAAGGTCCCCTGGCTCAGAAGCCTTTCTGACCCTGTCCCCTCTCCTTCCGACTCCCTTAGCTCCCAAGACACTCTTGAGACTAACTATCCACCCTGCAGATCATGATTGAGAAAAGTTCCAGTCCCAAACTAAAAACGCAAAACTGCATGTCCTTCCATTGGCAGAACAAAAGACTTGGCCAGACCCTGAGCTGCTTATTTGTTTGTTTGTTTGTTTGGTCTTTTTGAGACAGGGTCTCCCTGTAGCCCCAGCTGTCCTGGAACTCACTATGTAGACCAGGCTGGCCTTGAACTCACAGAATCCACCTGCCTCTGCCTCCAAAGTGCTGAGATTAAAGGTGTGCACCACCACACCCAGCTCCCCCTAAACTTTTATTTAAACAGCTCAGGGTCACCAGGTGTGGAGCACGCCTTTAATCCCAGCACTTGGGAGGCAGGCGGATCTCTGTGAGTTCAAGGCCAGCCTGGTCTACACAGTGAGCTCTAGGCCAACTGGGGCTACAGGGAGACCCTGTCTCAAAAAGACCAAAAAAAAAAAGTTTAGGGGGAAACTACTGACCCAGATAAATAATTTAAAATATAGACTATAGGGGCTGGAGAGATAGCTCAACGGTTAAGAACACTGACTGCCCTTGAAGAGGACCCGGGTTTGATACCCAGCACCCAATGGCGGCTACGATCCGTCCTTAACTCCAGTTCCAGGGGAATCTGAAGCCCTCTTCTGACCTCCGCAGCATTGCACGACATGGGTGCACTCACATACATGCAGGCAATACACTCATACACATATTAAAATTAAAAAATAAAAATAAAACTTAAAAAAACATACAGACTATAGCCATACCATCCTGAACGCGCCCAATCTCATTTGAATATACAGTGACCATCCAACTTTATAAATGCAAGATACTATTGAAATTAACTAATGGTTTTCTGGACAGTGACCAGCTTAGAAAGCCCAAGGGCATTTGGAAGAACTAAGAAAGAGGCAGTGTTAATACAAATCCTCAACACAGGCTCGTCAACTGCAACCTGCCATAGACGTGCAAGCCAGGACAGCAGGCCCCAGGAGAACTGAGAACAGTGGGCGGAGAGGAGAGGCCACTTTGGTTATGCCCGGGCGCCCGCCAGGCCAGTGACAGCACTTCTTAAACAAATTACACAGTTAGCTGGTGGAAGAAAGAGACACGGGAAAAGCTAATATGGTGTTGCAGAAGAGATGGCTCAAATTATAGTCATTGCCCCAACCAGACACCATCGTGTGGCCCACGGGCAAGTTAATGGACAGAGCTGCCACAAAGCTTTGTGGCAGGATGCTCAGGGACAGCTTGGCCATTCAGAGCTCATGTCCTGGGATTCTCACATGGCCAGGATGGGGGGCAGAGATTGGAACAGCCTCATACAGGTATCTCCCCCAAGAAAGCTCTTAAGATGGCATGGATAAGACCAGAATAACAGGCTCCTAACAAAGGTCTCCAGCCCGAGGAAGGCTGTGATCTAAAGTGAAAAGCCCTATAGGCGTTAGAAACCGGAACCCCTCCAGGATGAAGATCTGGCCCTCCTTTGGTGTCAGCACCACAGAGAGCCATACAAGGAAGAGCTCCACTGGCTAGAAAGCTAGCAACCAGTCTTCAGTTTCTACCCATTTCTCCATGAACAGCTCTTTGGTCTAGGAGCCCAGGGAACTTAAGACAACCAAATACAATAAAACTCTCTACTGGAAAGCAGGATGGTGGCCCCCCAAAAGATCCATCACTGTCCTTGCCCCTAAAACCTGTGAACATAACCTTATTGGGTATATACATACATATATACATATATATATGGATATAGGTAAGGGCTGTTAAATGAGATCCCCCAGACTGACCAGAGAACCCTAAACCTAATGACTAGTGTCCTCATAGCAGACCAAGAGAAAGCCATGTGAGACAGAGACCACAATGATGTGTCACAAGCCAAGGAGCACCTAGGCAACCAGAAGCTGGAAGAGGTGGGAAGGTCTCTCTTCTGGAACACAGAAAGTACAGCCTTGATGACACCCTGATTCTGGACTTTGATTCTGGACTTTGCCTCCCAAACTGGACAAGAATAGATGTCTGAGCCAGGTGTGGTGGCAGAAGTCTTTAATCCCAGCACTCGGGAGGCAGAGGCAGGCAGATCTCTATGACATCAAGGTCAGCCTGGTCTACATAGTGAGTTCCAGGCCAGCTGGGGATACAAAGAGACCCTGTCTCAAAAAAAAGACCCCCCCAAAAAAAAGAAAGAAAGAAAAAAGAAAAAAGAAAAGGGGAGATTATCAGAGGGGTGAAAGTGCCCACTGAGGGGAGAAACAACCCAGAACAGAACTGCCTCCCGTGCACCTTTCGAGGATGGAAGCTATCCCCATAGTCCTGCTCAGTTCTTCCACTTTAATGTTGTAGCTTACTCTTCATGGAGGGAGGAGGCATTGGCCTCAGTTCATTCTTCCCAAGCCTAGGAGCCAGCCACAGGGGCCCCACAAAAGGAGCAAAGCTACAGTGCCTCAACCCACAGCTGCAAATACCGTTTCCCTCTGTCTCAAAAAGACCAAAGAAGGAAAAAGAATATATGTCTATTGGAGACTACCCCTCCCCACGGGGGCCCTTCCAAACCAGCAGCAGTGTGTGGAGAGATGAGCTGAGAACCCCACAGCTGAGCCCCAGTAAACTCACTTCAGATCGTATTCACTGGGGTTGAAGTCCTGCCGCAGGCACGTGTCCTCCAGGACCTGGGGGATGAATGGATAGTGAACCCTATGTGGAGCAGGGCACTCCTCTGGCAGGCACACCAGCTGCTTGGCTGCCCAGACAAAACCTGGTAGGGACCACCCTCCAGGCAGCCCACTGAACCTATCCCAGCAAACCCTACCTGCATATGCTGCCTACTTTCCTCTTCCTACTGGGGACTCCTGGTACTCCCCAGCTGTGGCCACAGCCTGGCTACGCCTGGTCCCATGATTCTGGGTTTGGAGTGGCCTCTGGAGACAGATAGAAACTACGAACATGGGCTACCTTGTGGTCCTGGCCACTGCCTGGTCTGAAAGCCTCTGTGCAACCCTCCTCTGCAGCACCCCAGCTCCGAATGGGTCCTTCCAGAGGGTCCTGGTGCTCTGTCACCTCTGCCAGAGCCCCATTTCTGAACTCTGTGTACCCCTCACCACTGTGTGGCTCCTGCCACAGATATGAGTGGTGTGGGTTTCTGCAGCCTCACAACAGAGATTCAGTAAACAACTTTAACTCTTTCGAGAGATCACGTGAAGGCCTGGCGTGGTGGTGCACGCCTTTAATTCCAGCACTCCGGTGGCAGAGATGGGCGGATCTCAGTGAGCTGGATCTCAGTGAGCGGATCTCAGTGAGACCAGCTAGGGCTCTACGGTGAGAACCTGTCTCAAAAAACCAAAAAGGTGGCCGGGCGTCGGGGAACACGCCTTTAATCCCAGCACTCGTGAGGCAGAAGCAGGCGGATCTCTGTGAGTTCGAGGCCAGCCTGGTCTACATGGTGAATCCAGGACAGCTGGGGCTACAGGGAGACCCTGTCTCAAAAAGACCAAAAAAAAAAGGGGGGGGCTGGAGGGATAGCTCGGCCGTTAAAGGCTCAGGCAAACAACCAAAAAAATAAATAAATAAATAAATAAACCAAAAAGATACTGAGTGACTTGGCAAATTTCACTTCCGGGCACAGAGGCCCGGCAGATCTAAGGTGGAGGGGGACGTCTCTGGGCAGGGCCGGCTGGGACGCCACTCTTCCCGGGGCCCGAGGAGGCTAGGTTCGGCCCAGGCGGAGGATGCCGGGTCTCACGGGGGGCGACCTGCCCTCGGAGGGCCCCAGGCCCAGCGCAGCAACCCCGAACCGCGCCCCCTGGGACACCGCCCGGGCTCCAGGCCGCAGGAGGGGTCGGGCCGCCGCGCTAGGGGCGCTGATTGGCTGCCCCAGACCCCGCCCCCGCCCGGCCACCGGGAGCAGCCGCAGGGCTGGCCCTGCCTGCGACCCCCCTCCCGATTGCCCGTCTCCTCGGCCGCCGGTCGCACCTGCAGCAGTACGGTGCTCGGCGTCACCTTCACCGTGGTGCGCCGCCCGTTCGGAGCCAGCACCGACACTGCAGAGCCCCCGCCGCCCGCCGGGGCCGCCATCTTCCGCTCACGTGACCAGCGGCCCGCTCGCCTTCAACCAACTTTATCGGCAACAGCCGGGAGCACAGCCACGCGGCCCTGGGGGCGTGGCCTGAGCACTTCCGGGTCCCCGCCCCGCCCCGCCCCCACGCGGCCTGGATGCTGCTCGGCTGACCCAGCGCCTTGACGGGGCAGCCCCGGAAGGACCGCAGTTCTGTCCCCGGCGCTGCCTCTTGCATCCCGCGTCTCGTGGGCCTGGGAAGAGCGGGTTCTGCCTATTACCCCAGGGGCCACCAAGTGCTGGATGTGCCCACGTCGTGCTGCCCTACGCACCTGTGCCCTTCTCTGACAAGCACTGACCCTGCCATTCCCACCTTCTCAGCTGTCCCTGAAATCACCAACTTCCCAAAGAGCCAGATTGCAAGCAATAGTTTTGCTCCTCCACTGTCCAGGCTCCAGGCCCTCTTTTTAAAATTAGTATTGCATGTATTTATTGTGTGTTCATGTATGTTTATGGACACATGGTACTTGTGTGGAGGTCAGAAAGCAACTTGCAGGCGGCTCTTCTTTCCTCCCACCACGTGGAACTCAGGGATCAACTCGGACTGTCAGGCTTGGAGGCAGGTGCCTTTACCTGATTAGCCATCTCACCAGCCCAGGGCCCTCTTGACCTGCCTCGTTGATTGAACGTGGAGTACCAGTGGTCTTTGGGGATGGTGTAGTGATCTCTAAATCTGAGAGTAGAGAGGTTGGCACATACCCAGAAACACTTGAATGGCCCACTGCCCTCACTCGGGCCCAGATGCCTGGTGGGCTAACCCGTGGCCATGCTCAGCAAGGGCTACCAACAGACCCACTGCGGCCCCCAGGTGCCAGATCTAGGATGGCAGCTGTCCTCACACATGTCAGGCTGTAAACACCAGCTCAGATCTGGAAAGAGCAGCCCTCCAGCCATGGACCAGCCTCAGCCTCGAGCATGTGGCTGCCCAGGAATGGCATTTGTCCATGTTTGCCTTACACCCCAGACTTAGCTAATTCTAAATGCCATTCTGCACTACTGTCCACCCCAGCTCAGCCTGGCCATGATCATGCCATCCATCCATCTGCTTGACTCTCCATGTGTCCACCAGTTCCTAGCAGAATTCAGGTGCACAGTAGAAGTCTGGAGGGCCATGTGCAAACATTAAGCTTCTGACCCCTTTGTGTGGGTGCTGCCATGTCTTCACACAGCGGACACATCCATGCCACACACCTGTATAGTGACAAACACAGTTCTGCGTACACGGGAAAAGAATGAGAAAGCCTATGTGCTCTGTGTAACCTGAGTCTCGCTCAGTCACCCACATCACCTGGTCCTCTTTGGAAGGATTGTTTCCATTTTTCGACACTAGTGTTTTTGAGGAGCCCCAGCCTGTGCTCTTCCAGCTGTACCACAATTGGAATCTTGACAGAACATTTTGGGAGGTGAGGTGGCTAGGGTGGCAGATCATCAGGAGATTCAGGGCATCAGTTTATCCTGAGAGTGGGGTCATGAAGCTTGACCACCTACCTGTTGAGGTAAGGTCAGCCAAAGTCCTCCACAGTAAAGGTCCCTTGTTCCTTGTGGGGTAAATAAGCAGGTTATGGGCTGAATCTTTGAGACCACAAATATGTATTTCCCAAAAACTGATTAATTCTTTTCTTTCTTTCCTTTACATACAGTATTGAGGTTTTATGGAAAGACTTCACACACAATAGACAAATGTTCTGCCACTCACCAACAGTTCCAACCCATTTATTTTAAATAACATGTAAACGGAGCAGGGGGAGTATACACAGTGTGCAGGTGCTTGCTGAGGCCAGGCACGTGGATACCCTCGGAGCTGGAATTATAGGTAGTTGCGAACCACCTGACGTGAGTGCTGGGAACTGAACTTGGATCCTCTCTAAGAGCAGGAAGAGCTCTTAACCACTGAGCTATCTCTCCAGCCTTGTTTTGTTTTATGACAGCGTCTTGCCAGGTTGCCCAGGCTGACCTCAAACTTTTGATCCTCTTGCTTCAGCCTCCCAAGTATCTGGGATTACATGTATGTGCTACCATACCAGACTCATTGTGACATTCCTGGCTGCAAAATTATGACCTTCTACACTAGATGATTTTCCATCTAGAAGCACTGTCCTACTTGGTGTGGTAACACAAACCTTTAATCCCAGCACTCGAAGATAGAAGCAGGCAGATCTCTGAAATCAAGGCCAGCTGGTCTACATAGCAAGTTCCAGGTCAGCTGATAGGGAGACTCAGTTTCCGAAAACAAAAGAATGAAAGAAAAAGAAAAAAGAAAAGAAACACTGTTTCTCTTTTTAAACATATTCCTAAGTGGGGCTGAAGAGATGGTTCAGTGGTTAAGAGCAATGGCTGCTTTTGCAGAAGACACAGGTTCAAATCCCAGCATCCACATGGCAGCTACCACCCATAACCCCAGTTCCAGGGCATCCGACACCCTTTTCTGACCTCTGCAACATGGGTGTACTTGCATACATCCAGGCATAACACTCAAACATGAAATTAAAAAATAAAAATTTTAAGCCAGGCATGGTGGCACACGCCTTTAATCCCAGCACTTGGGAGGCAGAGGCAGGCAGATCTCTGTGAGTTCAAGGCCAGCCTGGTCTACATAGTGAGTTCCAGGACAGCTGGGGCTACAGGGAGACGCTGTGTCAAAAAGAAAAAAAAAATTTTTTTAAAGTCTTAAGTATTAATATGAATTCATTTTTTTTCATTTCATCATTATTCTTTTTTACGTTCAAATTGATGCGAATTTAGCCAGTGAGACCTCCTTCATAGTGGCTCCTGTGCTTATTTTTTGGGGGGAAATGACTTTTAAATTTTTGTGTTTATTTTCGTTGTTTTGTTTTCTGTGTGCAGTCTCTTGTAGCATAAGCTGGCCTTGAACTCTGGATCCTCTTGCCTCCACCTCCAGAGTGCTGGGATGATAGGCATGTGCCACCACAGTTCACTCGTTTAGTCCTTGCTGGCCTGGAACTCACTATGTAGACCAGGCTGGCCAGGCTGGCCTTGAACCCCAGCCTTGAACTGGTAGCAATTCCCTTGCTCTTCCCTCTAAGTGCCCAAATTACAGATATGGGAGACCACACCTGGCTTAATTTTTGTATTATTTCAAACCTAGAGCCAGGCAGAGTGGAGCATGCCTTTGATCCCAGCATGTGGGAGGCAGAGGCAGGTGGATCATTGTGAATGCAAGGCTAGTCAGGTCTACATAGTGAGTTCCAGGCTAGCTAGGGCTACATAGTAAAACCCTGTCTGAAAACAAAATACTTGGAAGTTGTAAGAATAGTACAAGGGGGCCGGGGAGATGACTCAGCAGTCAAGAGCACTGGCTGCTCTTGCAGAGGACCTGGATTCCGTGGTGGCCAACAACCATCTATAACTCCGGTGCTAGGGGATTCAACGCCCTCTTCTGGCCTCCATGGGCATTGCACGCATGTGGTGTACTTACATACAAGCAAGCAAAACACTTACTCATTTAAAATAAAAATGAAACAATTTCTAACAAAAAGGAATAGCCAGGCATAGTGGCGCACATCTTTAATCCAAACACTTGGGATACAGAGGCAGGCAGATCTCTGTAAGATTGAGGCCATCCTGGTCTACATAGTGAGTTCCAGGCCAGCTGGGACTACAGGGAGACCCTGTCTCAAAAAGACCAGAAAAAAAAAAAGTACAAGCAGCATCTTTTAGCCAGATCAGGACATTAGAAATTGTTCGGATGTTGCTTGTTTGCTTTATTGTATAAGATTATTTTGCTCCACTTATGAACAACTTGCAGGAGCTGGAGAGATGCTCAGTAGTTAAGAGCACATACTGCCCTTGTAGAGGACCCCAGTTTGGTTCCCAGCACCTACACTGGGCAGCTCACAACTGCCTGTAACTCCAGTTCCAGGGGATCTGACACCCCTGGGCTCTTTGGGCACACACACACACACACACACACACACCTTTTTCTTGATTTTGTTTTTTGAGACAGAGTCTCCCTGTAGCCCCAACTGGCCTGAACTTGCTGTGTAGACCAGGCTGGACTTGATCTCACAGAAATCCATCTGCTTCTGCTTCCCGAGCACTTGGATTAAAGGCGTGCACCATCATGCCCAGCTAAAACATTTTTTAAGTATTTATTTATTTATTTTATGTGTATGTGTGTATTGCCTGCATGTAGATAAGTGCACCCATGTCGTGCAATGCCCATAGAGGTCAGAAGAGGCTGTTGGATCCCCTGGAACTGGAGTCATGGACAGTTGTTAGCTGCCATGTGGGTGCTGGGATTCAAACCTGGGT